TATATATATGTATGTGTGTGTGTGTGTGTGTATATATATATATATATATATATATATGTGTGTGTGTGTGTGTGTGTGTGTGTGTGTGTGTGTGTGTGTGTGTATTATGACTCCTATGATTTTTGTATTCGTTCAAATTTTTCTATTTTTCTTGTATTATTTGTTGCATGTGTTGCCTTTTAGTAATAAAACTAAATTTGTTAAAAGCAAATACTAGCATTTCAGCACTTATTAAATTATTTTCTAGTCAGCTAAGGCTGTCAGAACATTTGAAATTTATATGACACCTGATGTAACCCAAAAACACAACTCCACAAAAGGAAACTTTTTCTCAAAGTTTGTCAAATTTCACAAGGTGACCTTAAAATGTTTCCTCATAGGTCACAGCAACATTAACAAGTGACTATGATAACATACGTGTGTGCTTGTATGCGTGCGTGCGTGCGTGTGTGTGTGTGTGTGTGTGTAACATTTCTGCAGTTTCACAATGAATGGACAAAATATCTTCCAGCCCTCAGCCCCAGCGGCATGTGAGAGCATGGCCCGCCCACTATAGTCAGCCTTGCTCGTTCTGGACTGGAAGCTGCTTTTTTATGATTATTTTTACGTCAGAGTGGTCAATTTTCTATTATTTCTGTCTCAACTTGGTGCAGCAGAGGCTTTCGCACTTCCCATTTCACAGAACTTGCGGGGGACAGAGGGCACAAAAATGATTTCTGTGCCCTCTGTCCCTTGCACTTTTTTACAGCCGCGAGTTTTCCCGAGCCGTCTTTAAACGCAACATGAGCGCTAAGATGCTCGCGCCGGTTTGCACAGTTTTTTTTTTTTTTTTTTCAAAATAAAACTGAGTAAGCTGAGTAATGCTGTTGGATGCATATAATTAGCTAAATGGTGACTCGTTAATCCATACTAATATATCACTTTAACATTGCTAACAAGAAGCCAATAGTTTTGTCTGTTCGGAGATGGACTGTAGTAGATACATTTAACTTTTTGGGGGAAAAGGAACTTCTAAGAGTATTTTTACTGCACTGTACTTCTTACTTTACTTGAGTACTATTATGTAGTACTACTCTTATTTGAGTAGCTTGGTTGTGCATTTATTGTTTATATTGTATTAATAGACATTATACTTTTATCTCAAGAGTTATAAACATTTGTTTATCATCTATATTAAATTAAAAGCCCGTTATCTGTGCCCTTCCAAAATAAGCCATCGCCCCCCTCTGGAGCCGGGTCTGCATCCACATGGACGTTATAAAATATGTCCACGTGCATCAGTAACAGCCTTGTACACGTAGGCAGTGTCTAAGAAAATTGTATGTTATGTATTGTAAAATTTTTTTTACGGTTTTAGAGTAATAAAATGTACAAAATAAATGAAATGGTAAACTCTGGAACGGAAGGATACAACGGGAAGACAAGTGTTGCATCTTACCTTTGATGTGCGTTTCTGTACTTGAAGCCATTCTTTTAGTGTCGTCCTTCTTTCCGTGCTGCTAACTCCAGTTACGTCTGCAGTTATATGTCGCGCTTCCCTCTAATGACAAGTTATAGTTGGCTGTTATTAAATAGCGGCGCACTGGAGAGTTTAAGAGAGTTGTCAGTTTTACGAGGACATGTCAGGGCAGAGAAGCGGAAAATTCCACAAAAGATGCTGCTTTAAGAACCAAATGGTCCGTCCCTTCTCATATTACAGTGGTTCTAAATGTCTGTCTTTTCCCTGGATGGCTCTTTATGGATCACGTTCTTGTGGACATACGAACAAGAATAGTCTAGGAACCCGATAGCCCCTTGCGTGTTTAGCAAGCCGTTCAAACAGTTAATTGCCAGACTTGCCATCGCCTCACAGAATTTCAAAAGGACGTGCCTACGTGTAAACGTTTTTAAGTACAGCAGAGGATTCGGAAAAGCCTGGCGAGTGGGACAGGGTGTCAGCAATGGTCCCTGGATTTCAAGTCAAAATCTGAAACTCATGTCTTATATTTGCTACAAACAGAGCATCATATTTCACACATTTATTTAAGCAAATTATGAGGACTAAACTTATAACTAATGAAAACCCAGAATTTAGTTTCTCGATAATATTTAATATTACGTGAGATCAATAAAGATGATTTTAAAACACAATGTGGGGTAAAGGAAGCTGTGTACTGTATGAATTACGCATGAAGGCATCCAGCCTGTGGCACAGTGAGGCGCTAAGGAAGCCCAGGTTTATGACAAGCTTTTTTGTATTTATTCAATATCTTTGACGTCATCATTAACATCAATTTTACATCTATACATTTCTAGTTATACTTTTGCCCAAGCCAGATCAACATTTGATGCTGGTCTTATAGGAAACATTTGGCCAACTACTAGACGTTTTTGGTCAACTAATAGGAGCAAAAAGTAGAAGTTTTATTCTAGTAGCTCTGCTGTCTTCACTATACCTTTTTATGCACTAGTTGACATTTTGTCAGCTGGCATTCAGTGTGAGAACTAGCTGACACAAATCATGCCCTCTAGTAGTGACATTTAAATGCGTGTACTATTTGACTCATGTGACTAAAAGTTTTAACAAGTTGACTCTTGTGCAACAATAGGTCTAGTTATGCTATAAATAATCAATAATAAATGCCAAAGAAAATTATTAATGTAGATGAAACATACCAACAAAGACCGTATGTACACTCGTCAAAGCTTTGAAAATGTTACCTATTCACTAGTGCAACTAAAACATTAGCTAGTTAACTTATACTGGTACATGTACCAGTGTGCTAGATTGTACAGTTGACAAAAATGCACCAGTTCATTAGTAACTTCACTTTTGTGCCAGATGTCAATTAGAAAGGTCTAAAATGTTCACTGCTTCAATGGTTGGGGCCATTTCAGATGTACTAGTAAATTAATGGATCTAAAAAACATAGTTAACAAAGTTAACAAAGGCACCTTAGAGCATCAAATATTTACTAGTCACTTATATGTAAATTTTTTGTCTGCAAGACTAGGACTGAGTAACTGACAGCATAACAAAGGCAGAGGAACAACATGCAAACTGAGATGGACTTGGCTAAGTTTACAACCTCAAACCCTCATTCTTCCAAATCACCACACCAGGCAGCCAGGGACTCCACTGTCAGCTGAGCCCATATATTTATCCAGGTCTCAGGGGTTTTTAGGTGGTAATCAAACACAATTATGCTCCTATAAAGTAAACAAAGATCCACGGGAATTACAAAAGATTCCAGTCATGCTGTACAGGAAGTTTTTTTTTTCTTGAGAATTACATCTGTTAAAATATAGCTTCCCTTTTTTAATATTTTGTACACATAATGCCCCATGGTGATGTTAAAAGATCAGCAGTGGTACGAAAAAAAAGAAAAGAATCAAAAATAACTTTTATGGATTCAGTGGAAAATGTGAGTTGGGCCGGAAGTTAGCAGGGCCTTACAGGGCCGCCAGCCCGGGGCCCTGGCACTGTGAGGTTCTCAATACTATTTAATGATAAATAATAAAGTATCACCTCTGATAAAACAAAACATATGTATGAGGTTTTGCAAATGACACTGCAAATTTTAGTGAGAGAAGAAAAAAAACTTTTTTTCTAAATGGATGAAATGTTTACCTTTGATAAATAATCTCTGGTTTTTGGCATGTAATAACCGCACCAAGGTATGTTCTTCTTCAAACTCTGATTTTATTATTATTTCGATTAAAAAAGTCCTTTCTCTCACCATCAAGTCAGCGCAGACAGGATTTCCTGGGATTTTATTTTTTGTTATAACATTGCCAAAACCCTGCAGTAATGTTGATAGATTCTAGTCCAGATGTTTCTCTAGTTAAAGATGGCTGCAGCTCAGCAAATCTTGTTAGGCCACTAATTAAAATCAAATGTGTTGAAGAAGGAAAACTTCCAAAGCAGGGCAGTGAGCCTTTAAGTCCAGGTCCTGAAACACTAGTTTTGTCTGAGCAAATACAGTGACTTGGTCATAGAGGTAGTCTAAACACAGAGAACACCGCCTCCTAGTGGTAAGTTTGCTTATCCTCCTGACCTTCCACAAAGTTTTGCCCTCAGTCAAGCTAAGTAAAAATAAGTTTTACTCAGTTTGACCGCAAATGTTACATCACCTTGTGAAAAAAAGAGAACTTGTAATTTCTGATAAATATCTACACAACAACAAATTTGCTATCATTCTTTAAAAATTACCATTCTAATTCTATTTTTATGTCTTAAAATAAAGAAACAAAGCTTTTCCAAAAGGAAGGTTGGCATATTCTTAGGATGTTGGGATTTGTGATAAATTATGCATGAAAAAGATACCCCTAATGACAGGAAAAATAGAGTTGACAGGTGAAATTTATCATTTAAATTCGTTCATGATGTGCTTCAGCTCAGGAGTATAAAGTAATTTAATTTAATTTAATTATAATAATTATAATAATTATAATATTATAATTATTGTCCAGCTTTTCTAATGATATCAGTAATACAAAATATATTTAAACATTTTAAGCTATGTCACACATAATTTAATATATAAAAATATTATATATA